AGCAGGAGGTGAGAGCGGTGAGTCCGCGCGTGGCCCGCCCCATTATTTTATTATTTACCACTTCCGTCCGCGCCTCTTTCCCGCACTGCGCACTTGTCTCAGTCACAGTGTTGGTAAGCCCACAAGCTAACCCCTAGTAGCCAAAATGGGTTTAAAAACAAACGTCGCTGGAGAGCTTCTTTGAAAAGGGGGAAAGACCCAATGATGAACCCCCCCCCCCCCACGGTCCGTCAAAAAAAATTGTCTTCCACGAAACCGGTGCCTGGTGCCAAAAAGGTTGGGGACCGCTGCAGTGTAGCCAATCGCTAACCATCACCTTACCCCTGACACACGCCGACATGCGCGAGCGACGGCTTGGCACCGCCTGCACTGCCCGCCACTGGCAGCGTTTCAGATGTTCGCCCTGGCAGCAAGTCCACTGGCTCTCTCGCCAAACTCCGCGGCCGTCTGGAACGTTCTTCCGATATTAGGAAGCCGCTGGAGCTATGCACTGATACATCGTCGAGATTGACAAACCCGTTTCTTTTAGAACTGCTTTCTGTTGTCTGGTTTGTCGTCGTGAAACGTCGTTAACTCAAATTGTGAATCTTGTGGGTTTGCTAACACAACTGGTGGTGCTGAAGTACAATTAGCACGGTTGGCTTACATACGGTGCGAAAGAAGTTCAACATTCAACCTTACTCCTATCTCCCTAAACTCGTGGTTTTTAACCTTTACTGCAGCCTTGCACCCATTTGGTTCTCAATCGTGAAAAAAAAGTTCAATGTTAATGCATAGAGAGTTTGATGAAACAAAGTTATAATAGGGTTTTTCCCCTTTTTTCTGGCAACAAAACTGAACCCTTTTTACAAGGATTCATGTCTGCATTAACCACAATGCCTGCAGTCAAAATGCAAAAAAAACCATACTATGATAATATATGCATTGTCCTTGAAACTGATTGGTCCACACCAAGGGACGGCTTTCTTTTGAGCCTCGACCCAATTGGTGCTCGACCAGACGAGGCAAAGGAGGTCTAATGATGAAACAAAGTAAGTTGTAACTTAACATGCCCATGCTTAATTTGTATTGTCGATGATTTACCTTCTAAAGAAAATCTGGCCGTGTCTCGTACCCCCAGAAAGGGCATCTCGCACCTCCCCCTCCCCTCCCCTGCTGATGAATCGGTTTACATATGTAGTGACACACTTAGAGTAGGAGGCACTCTATTTATTAACAGCCTTTACAGGTTACAAGGGATAACTACAACTCTCAGCCAGGACAGCTGGCAGACCGCCTGACTGACGACGCCGAGAAGGTGAAGACGCAGACGAAGGCGCCAGCAGCACGATGGGATTCCACTCCAAGCAACAGCCCCGAGCCTTCGCTCAGGGTCCCCTTTTATCCTCCCGGCATGGCCTCGCTCTGCCCCGGCCACGCCCCCCTTCTAGAACCAACTCGCGGGTTCCCGGGCTTACGTCACGTGCCCCCTCTAACACCTTTCCCCTACATCCCTCTCTCTAGCTTGTCACGTGACCTGCTGACAGGGCTGCTGCAGAACCCATTCTCTGCCAGCAACCCGCGCTATGCTACGTCGTGACCCATTCCATGCCACTACACACAGACACGTAATACAATGAGGCGAGTCGGTTTCTGAGCAGCTTTTGAGTTTATTGCATCTTTTTGCGATTCGGGTAACCTGTCCACGGTGAAGCGAGCAGCCTTCCCTGCATGTTCCGTGGTATCGCGATGGAGCACGGCCGTGCTATCTAATGAATGGACCAGCACATGCAATGACCACAACTGAACAATCGTCCTCGGCAGTCGGTCTAGTTTCACTTACAGGACAATACACAGCCTAGAACAAAGTCATGGGAACAAGGGTTCACGATTGCTTAAATATCACTTCCAATCAAGACTACGATCTTGAGACCCGGTCTCCTGGAGTTGTCTCAACTGAGACTCTGGATCCTGGCACGCGGTCTCCTGGAGTTCAGTCTTAAGATTTTCAAACCTGAGATCCAGACTCATGGAGCCGAGTCTCAAGACTCCAACCCTGAGACCGGCTTCGATCCTGAGACACGGGCTCCTGATGTTACGTTTCAAGATTATCGATCCTGAGATCCGGTCTCCTGGAGCTGTGTCTCAACTGAGACTCCGATCCTGAGACATGGTCTCCTAGAGTTAAGTCTCAAGATTCTCAACCAGGAGATCCGGTCGAGTCTCAAGACTCCGATCCTGAGACCCTCTCTCCTGGAGTTGAGTCTCAACCGAGACTCCGGTCCAGAATCCCCGGTCACCTTGAGTCTCAAGGCAACACCGATGGTGAACAAGTGATCCGTTCCCGCATCTATCGGACCGTTGTGGACTCACTACCCTCATGCGAGACAAAGCCATGTCGCCGGCACACATGGCCTGACGTACGATTAACTCCCGCGCGACCGCTCGCAGCCAAGACATCGAACCCGACTTCCTCTGCCTTCATAATTAACGCAACGATTTTCCCAAGCGACGCTCCACATGCACGAGCCACCGCCCTCGCTAGCTTCGACGTCTCGGCTCATATCCAAGTCATCACCGGCACAATTCCCGCTTCTCAGTTTGACAACCATGAGCTTTGACTCCTCGTGGTGGCTAGGAGATGTTAACTCCCTTGCCAGATATGCAGGTGGTCACGGGTTCGATCCCGACCCCGACGCCTCCTTTATATTTGTAGTTTGTGTATATCTCTCTCTCCGTGGTCACGTGGATTTTTCTTCGGGTCCCGCGTTCTTTTTCCCCTCCACATTTCGAATCGACGTCGACATGCGTTCAGAGAATTTGGCCGCTACCAGACATTTCCATGTAATGACGAGAAGCCACCTGGCCGAGCTATCACTTCTGATACCAGGTCGCATTACCTGGTAATTTAAAAATAGTTTAGTTTAAGTTTTTAAATCTGCAGCAGCAGACGGCTAAACCCCCAGCGTCGTGCTCGCTCTAGCCGTCTAATTTGCCCGAGGTTCCCCCTCCTCTGCTACCTGCCCACGGCGGGGAGGTGGCTCTGGAATTCCCTCCCCTCTGGCCATTGCCACCACCACCCCCCAACCTGCTTTCAACTCTGGACTCGAGGATGTTTCCTCTTCTCCTCTGTGCCAACGACTGACCGTCTGCATCTATTCGAGCATCTGAACCCAGTGGTGTTCATTCATTTTCAGAGGGCGGGTGGGGACACTTGCACCGATCAGACATCAGTGAAGGCTGCCACACCGTTTGAAACCATTGTTGGGGTTTGGCAGCAGCACGATGATGGGCCAGCAGTGCCGAGGACCTGGGTTTGACTCCTGGGTCTGGGTTTCTCTCTCGGTGGATTAAATGGCCATGTCAGAGACACTGAACCAGCAGTGTTGAGGACCTGGGTTTGACTCCTGGGTCTGGGTGTCTCTCTTGGTGGACTCAATGGCCATGTCAGAGACACTGAGCCAGCAGTGTTGAGGACCTGGGTTTGACTCCTGGGTCTGGGTGTCTCTCTCGGTGGATTAAATGGCCATGTCAGAGACACTGAACCAGCAGTGTTGAGGACCTGGGTTTGACTCCTGGGTCTGGGTGTCTCTCTTGGTGGACTCAGAATGGCCATGTCAGAGACACTGAGCCAGCAGTGTTGAAGCACCTGGATTTGACTCTTGGGTCTGAATCTCTCTCTTTGTCTCGAGGGAACTCAGAATGACCGTGTCAGAGACACTGAACCGGAAACTCAGCCCCTGTGTTAAAGTGCTGGGGCTGGGTTCCCCTTAGCCCAGTATTCTTAACGAATTTTCAAAGGCGATAAGACATCATCAGTGGGCCGCCACACCATTTGAAACCATTGTTGGGGTTTGTGACAGCAGCACGACGACGATGATGATGGTGTTGTCACTCTTTGTGCGTTGTCGGGTGGGTGCACATCAGCTGGCCACACTAAAGGCCACCAGGGGCCACCCAATGGCCCGTGGTGGCCTTGCAATGAAGGTCGCCGCTCTATTTGAACATCTGACTCAACACGGAAACCCTCTTCTTCCACACGCCTCCTTCGCCGCTGATAAAAAAAGCTCTCTTCCCCACCCCTGCCCCCCCGCTCGTTCCGTGCCCTCGACGCGGAACGAGCGGGGGGGCAGGGCTGAACGTGTTGTTCACCCCTTTCAAGTTCGAGCCACAAATGAACCCGCGGACACCTCGCTGCTGACCTTCGTCAGCAGCGAGGAGCGTGAATGCCACCGGCACGCCAACTCCGCTCATGCTCGCGGCTGCGGTGGCGGCTTCTGGCAGCTGGCCGTCGAACAAAGACGGCGGTCACCGCGTCGTCGCACGGCGCTTTCAGACGCACCGCTTCCGCGGCCGTCTGGAACGCTCTCTCTTCCGATGTTAAATCACGTCGATTGAAAACTAATTTCTTTAGGACTGCTTGTTGTGTTCAGTTTGTTGGCCGCCCGCCACACCTCCGATTAGCGCGGTTGGCTTACGTGTGGTGAGAAAGAAGTCCAACATACATTCCACCAACTCTAGATACTCACCTGACGTGGTGGACACCGCGTGACACGGATAATCAAGGAGTAAACACAAGCCCCCTCCGAATGCTACTTAACGGGGCCTGAAAGGGGATTGCTTCAAGGCAAAGAATTGGAAGGGGATTGGAGGAGAAATACCGAATGTAAAGAGCAAGAAAGGGAGGGTGATTGACAGGGAAGAATCCAGTCGGTACGACAGCAAAAACTCTGCATGGACGTTGGCACGTTGTTATGCAGTCGCCAGCCAGTGCCACGCAACATCTCCCCGTCGTGGGAGTCTCTGCTCCATGCCAGCGGAATGGAGCAGAGGCTGCAGTTTTGGCTCCCAAGGGCTAAGTAATCAATCAAAAACTTTTTTTTTGCTATAAGCTATTTTTATTATTACACCAGGTAAGGCCCCAACTGAGCTACGTTGATCTTTTTCAGAAGCAACCTGGCCGTCACAAATGATAGCTCAACGAAAGTGGATTGTCATTTGGAAATTTATAGCAGCGGCCAAATACTCCAAACGTGTGTGGAGGGGAAAACTGGGGAAAAATCCACGCGACCACGGAGAGAACATGCATCCGGCGTCAGGGTCAGGATCGAACCCACAACCTCCTGTATAACAGGCGAGGTAGTTAGTATCTCGCCACATTATACGCATGTACACGTTGAACTTATTTCGCACCGGACGGAGCCAACCATGCTAATGACACATTGACCGCTGCAACTCTGTGTAAGCAGTCATAAAACTAACGTTCCTCTGTCAATCCGCTGCTGGATGAAGATCTACCTCCACATGCCATGTCGGTCATTTGACTATACTTCACCATGCTGGCCTGCGTGGTGTTGTGAATACGACTGGTGGATGTCACCTACCACTGATGCTGGCTGGGCTGTGAGTGGGAATCGAACTCAGGTTGCCGGGTGAGTGGTGGCTGAGTGCGCTAACCGCTGCGCCACCACCCCCCCCCACCACCACCACCCGCACATAACCTAACCCTAAACTAACACTAACTTAACCCTAGCCTAACACTAACCTAACCAGTCAGTGTGGGCTGGCAAAGAGGTGGGGGGGGGCAGCCCGGGCCCGGTTTGGATACCATGCAGCACCACTGACATCGAGTCGTAGGCCCCCTAGGGATTGAGCCACCACACTTGCCAGAGGAGACGACGGCCAACACCGGACGGACTCCTCCAAAGTCCCGTCCACGGCAAGTACCGACGGAGCCGTCCTCGTCGCAAGAATCCGCCACCCAGATGCGGATGAAACGCGACCGAAACGTTTCCCCAGAACGCCCCGCGGGGGAGAGAAGAGAGCCGCGAAGCGTTACGGAATCCATGCTCTCGCTCTCGTGTATATTTTCCCCGTTCCCCCACCCACCCGCGTTTAACATTGGAGGGAAGGAGGGAGGCGCGCGCGTTCCTGCCCACCGCCACCTCCCTCCGGAGCCTTTGACCGGTGGGGCGGTGGGGGGGGGGGGGGGGTAGCAGCTACAAAGAGAAGGGCCGCTGGTGGCGGTGCGCGTCGCCGATTTCATTTCACTACCAGGCGAGGTCCCGTTTGTTGACGGGGTGTGGGGGGAGGGGGGTTACGCAGGTGAGATGGTGGGGGGGGGGGGGGGGTTAGGCCGTGAGAGTCACAATGAGAGCCGCTGCTACGAATGGGGCTAGGCGCGAGTGTCGGAGGCCAGAGGGTCAGAGTGGGGGGTTTTGGGTTGGGGGGTGGGGTCAGGGTTAGAGGTCAGGACGGGTGGTCGAGTGATAGGAAACGGATAGGGTCGGAACATTGGGTAAGGGTGAGGGTTGGAGATTTGGGTAGATGTAGGATTAGGGGAAGGGTCGAGGGTAGGATAGGCGGCCAAGTGATAGGATACGGGTAGGGCGAGGATATAGGGATAGGGATTTGCGTAAGGTATTTGGGTAGGATTAGGAGCAGTTCTTGAGTTAGGTATTGGGACAGAAGGATTAGGGGGGTAGGGTATAGGGTTCGTAATCAAGATGGGTGTAGGATTGGGGTTAGGGATCAGGATAGGCGTAGGATTGGGGTTAGAGATCAGGATAGGCGTAGGATTGGGGTTACGGATCAGGATGGGTGTAGGATTGGGGTTAGAGATCAGGATGGGTGTAGGATTGGGGTTAGGGATCAGGATAGGCGTAGGATTGGGGTTAGGGATCAGGATAGGGGTAGTATTGTTGTCGTGTCCCTACTCAACCAGGAGATGAGGTCAACCCATTGAGATTCATGCCACAGCACTGCCTCTCTGGAAAGGTGACCTGATTACGTGTTGGGATTTGGGCTCAAGATTCGGGCAGGACCAGGATTGGAGTTCAACATTAGGATACGGGTCGGACGAGGGGGTAGGTTTAGATATTAATGTAGGGGTAGGGTTTGGGCGTTCGTTTTATGAACAATAAAGGATAAAATACTTAGGCTAAGAGATTTGGTAAGGGGATTAAGCCTAGGCTTAGTGACATTATAATCACGTTACATTCACGGTTCAGGCTTCAAGGGGGGTTCATGATCAAGATTAAGGTTTATGGTTAAGTGTTTAGGGGTCAGTGTTGGGGTTATGGGTAGTGATCTGTGAATGGGGTTCAGGCTTAGAGGTTCAGGGTTATGTGTGCGGGGTTCAGAGTTTTGGGTCAAGGGTTCAGGGTATGGGGTTCAGGGTAGTGTTTTGCGAATGGGATTCAGGGTTGGAGATTCAGGCTGAGGGGTTAGGCATTTGGGATTCAGGGTTAGGGGTCAGGGGTAGTACTCCATGAATGGGGTTCAGGGTTCGGAGTTAGGGCTTATGGTTAGTGCTCTATGAATGGGGTTCAGGGTTAGGGATTCAACGTTGAGGGTTCAGAATTTCCGTTTATGGGTTCAAGGTTTGGGGTCAGGGGTAGTGCTCTGTGAATGGGGTTCAGGAGGCCGAGGCCTTCCGATGGCCTCGCTCAGGAGTTGAACCCGTGCTCAGGAGGCCGGGGCGTCTTCAGGCTCCGCAGAATCACTGTCCTGCGACCCCTCAGACTCATGCTGCCCGGACGGAGTCTCGGGGGTCGACCTGCGGGCACAGGGAGGGGGCAGCAACCCTTCAACTCTGCGTTGCTCGCAGCCCTGCGGCTGTGAACTCCCACGCTGAGTCCATCATCGACCCCGTTACTAGGCCCTAGCAGTGAGTCTAACACTGACCCAGGCCCTAGCGGTGAGTCTAACCCTGACCCAGGCCCCAGCAGTGAGTCTAACCCTGACCCAGGCCCTAGCAGTGAGTCTAACCCTGACCCAGGCCCTAGCAGTGAGTCTAACCCTGACCCATTCCCCAGCAGTGAGTCTAACCCTGACCCAGGCCCCAGCAGTGAGTCTAACCCTGACCCATTCCCCAGCAGTGAGTCTAACCCTGACCCATTCCCCAGCAGTTAGTCTAACCCTGACCCAGGCCCTAGCAGTGAGTCTAACACTGACCCAGGCTCTAGCAGTGAGTCTAACCCTGACCCAGGCCCTAGCAGTGAGTCTAACCCTGACCCAGGCCCTACCAGTGAGTCTAACCCTCACCCAGGCCCTAGCAGTGAGTCTAACCCTGACCCAGGCCCTAGCAGTGAGTCTAACCCTGACCCAGGCCCTAGCAGTGAGTCTAACCCTGACCCAAGCCCTAGCGGTGAGTCTAACCCTGACCCAGGCCCGAGCAGTGAATCTAAGCCTGACCCAGGCCCTAGCAGTGAGTCTAACCCTGACCCAGGCCCTAGCAGTGAGTCTAACCCTGACCCAGACCCCAGCAGTGAGTCTAACCCTGACCCAGGCCCCAGCAGTGAGTCTAACTCTGACCCAGGCCCGAGCAGTGAATCTAACCCTGACCAAGGCCCTAGCAGTGAGTCTCACCCTAACCCAGGCCCTAGCAGTGAGTCTAACCCTGACCCAGGCCCTAGCAGTGAGTCTAACCCTGACCCAGGCCCTAGCAGTGAGTCTAACACTGACCCAGGCACTAGCAGTGAGTCTAACCCTGACCCAGGCCCGAGCAGTGAATCTAAGCCTGACCCAGGCCCTACCAGTGAGTCTAACCCTGACCTAGGCCCTAGCAGTGAGTCTAACCCTGACCCAGACCCCAGCAGTGAGTCTAACCCTGACCCAGGCCCCAGCAGTGAGTCTAACCCTGACCCAGGCCCCAGCAGTGAGGCTAACCCTGATCCAGACCCCAGCAGTGAGTCTGACCCTGACCCAGGCCCGAGCAGTGAATCTAACCCTGACCCAGGCCCGAGCAGTGAGTCTAACCCTGACCCAGGCCCTAGCAGTGAGTCTAACACTGACCCAGGCCCTAAAAGTGAGTCTAGCCCTGACCTAGGCCCTAGCAGTGAGTCTAACCCTGACCCAGGCCCTAGCAGTGAGTCTAACATTGACCCAGGCCCTAGCAGTGAGTCTAACCCTGACCTAGGCCCTAGAAGTGAGTCTAACCCTGACCCAGGCTCTAGCAGTGAGTCTACCCCTGACCTAGGCCCTAGCAGTGAGTCTACCCCTGACCTAGGCCCTAGCAGTGAGTCTAACCCTGACCTAGGCCCTAGCAGTGAGTCTCACCCTAACCCAGGCCCTAGCAGTGAGTCTAACCCTGACCCAGGCCCTAGCAGTGAGTCTAACCCTGACCCAGGCCCTAGCAGTGAGTCTAACACTGACCCAGGCCCTACCAGTGAGTCTAACCCTGACCTAGGCCCTAGCAGTGAGTCTCACCCTAACCCAGGCCCTAACAGTGAGTCTAACCCTGACCCAGGCCCTAGCAGTGAGTCTAACCCTGACCCAGGCCCTAGCAGTGAGTCTAACACTGACCCAGGCCCTAGAAGTGAGTCTAGCCCTGACCTAGGCCCTAGCAGTGAGTCTCACCCTGACCCAGGCCCTAGCAGTGAGTCTAACCCTGACCCAGGCCCTAGCAGTGAGTCTAACCCTGACCCAGGCCCTGGCAGTGAGTCTCACCCTGACCCAGGCCCTGGCAGTGAGTCTCACCCTGACCCAGGCCCTAGCAGTGAGTCTCACCCTGACCCAGGCCCTGGCAGTGAGTCTCACCCTGACCCAGGCCCTAGCAGCGAGTCTAACCCTGACCCGTCATCCTGTATCCCCTGACCCGTAAACCCTGACCCATCGCCCTGTTTCCCCGTATTTCCTTCGCCCCGTGCGCCCTCTGCCCTCACCCGTCCTCGGTGTGCGAGTGGCCGATCATGCGGCGGCACGTCTCCATCTGCACATCGAGGCCGCGCTTCATGCTGCACATCTCCATGTACTCGTGCAGGTGGCGGCTCATGTCGCTCTTAGCGCTCGCCAGCTCCAGCTACGGGTAAATGTGGGGGGAAAACATGGGACGCACGGGGACACGCGGGGACACGCAGATAACATGGGACACACGGAGACGCACGGAGATGCACTCGGACGCATAGAAAAACACTGGACACGTGTGGACGCATAACATGGGACACACGGGGCCACGCGGAGGTGCACTCACAAGCATAGAAAACACGGGGCACGTGGGGACGCATAGACAGCATGGGACACATGGAGATGCACTCAGATGCATATAAAATATTGGACACGTGGGGGACATGCGGGGAACACGCGCAGAGAACGGTCCTTCCTCAGTGCCCATCCGAGCGGAGAATCACTTAGACTTTCTTGACCTCGCTCGGCTAGCCCAAGGCTGAACGAAGCTGACGGGTAGGCGGAGGCCCTACCTCAATTTGTCCGATCGTCTCCTGGTATTCACGCTCGCGCGTCTTGAGCAGAGACTCCGTCTCCAGGATAACCCGCTCCACCGTGTCGTCCTGGCAGCATGCACATGAACAACAAAGACAAAGATCACCCCCGTACAGCCTTAACAGACCGTTGGGACAAGTGCTGTTAGCGAGTATCGCCTAGGAAGGCCGGCACTGTGGCACACGAGGGGGTGGGTGGCCAACAACCACACCTGTGGCGATATTTACACACCGCACCTGGTACTCATTTGAGGCTCAGTCGACCTAGGGGAGGCCCAGGACCGGTTCAGATAATCGTCACTGGGTGTTGGCCATGAGTGGGAATTGAACTCGGGTCATCGGGTTCATAGCGCAGCGTAGCGCTAACCACTCCACCACTACCGCTCCCCCCACATCTACAACATCACCATCATCATCACCATCATCATTATCAATTACATCAAAATCATCATCACCAACATCATCATTATCAATTACATCAAAATCATCATCACCAACATCATCAATTACATCCACATCACCAACATCAATTACATCCAAATCACCAACATCATCACCAACATCAATTACATCATCATCGTGGAAATTTATATCAGCCAAATACTCTAAACGTCGATTCTAAATGTGGTGGGGAAAACATAAGAGCTGGGAAAAGATCGACGAGACGCAGACTCCAAATATACAACAAGCATCGTCAGGGTCGGGATCGAACCCACAACCTCCTGCATACCAGGCGATGTAGTTAACATCTCCTAGCCACTGTGATGATGAGAGAGAGACATGCAAACTCCAAATATACAACAAGCATCGTCAGGGTCGGGATCGAACCCACAACCTCCTGCATACCAGGCGAGGTAGTTAACATCTCCTAGCCACTGTGATGATGAGAGAGAGACACGCAAACTCCAAATATACAACAAGCATCGTCAGGGTCGGGATCGAACCGACAACCTCCTGCATACCAGGCGATGTAGTTAACATCTCCTAGCCACTGTGATGATGAGAGAGAGAGACACGCAAACTCCAAATATACAACAGACATCGTCAGGGTCGGGATCGAACCCACAACCTCCTGCATACCAGGCGATGTAGTTAACATCTCCTAGCCACTGTGATGATGAGAGAGAGAGAGAGACACACAAACTCCAAATATACAACAGACATCGTCAGGGTCGGGATCGAACCCACAACCTCCTTCATAGCAGGTGATGTAGTTAACATCTCGCATGCACGGTCGGGACTTATGTCCATGGAGTTTCTGTACCCCCCCCCCCCTATGTTTCTCTACCAGGCTCATCATCATCACGACCCATGGGCAGACAGCTCGTAATCTCTCCCACTGCACGTTTCGTTATTTGTTGTTTCCACTTTCCTCTCTGTCTTGTGGTGCCGATACGCTCAAGTAGTGGCCACATCTCTCGGGCACCAATCCCTTACCCCATCATCGTCAAGCCACCGTTCTCTGTGTGGTCTTCCTCTCTTTCCTGTCCCTTACATTTTGTTGCCGAACAACAACAAACAACGCCTTTCATTTTCCTGCCGTTGCGCTACGTGCAACCTTTTTTACTTTCAAGATCGACAAAACTAATTTCTTTTGAGCCGCTTTGTGTTGTTGTCCTTACCCCCCCCCCGCACCTCCGATTCGCACGGATGGCTACGAAAGAAGTCCAACATACACACACGCACGTGTGTTACGTTTGTCACTCTTTTGGGCTCGGCTTAGATGCAGCGTGTTATCCTTCCTGGGCTCCGACTGAAATATAACGACAAAAAAAGCATTCAGGCAAAAAAAACAAATTCTCACACCCGCACGGCACCGTGGGATCGGAGTCTCAGTTGAGACTCGGCTCTAGGAGACCGGGTCTCAGGATCGGAGTCTCGGTTGAGGACTTGGCTCCAGGAGACCGGGTCTCAGGATCGGAGTCTCGGTTGAGGACTTGGCTCTAGGAGACCGGGTCTCAGGGTCGGAGTCTCGGTTGAGGACTTGGCTCTAGGAGACCGGGTCTCAGGATCGGAGTCTCGGTTGAGGACTTGGCTCTAGGAGACCGGGTCTCAGGGTCGGAGTCTCGGTTGAGGACTTGGCTCTAGGAGACCGGGTCTCAGGGTCGGAGTCTCGGTTGAGGACTCAGCTCACCGACTATGCAGCTATTCAGCCAATTAAAAAAAATGGGGGGTTGTGGGTGCCCGTGTCGGATGACGCGATACCAATTCGGCGGGATGTCTCGATCCACGCGTCGATCGGCAATGAATCGACACGACGATTCACCCGCCGATCACGATCGGCCTTGAGGCGCCTTTGCCTGTTCGACTGAGCGAGAATCGACATGCGATTTTAACCTCGATTCACGATGCACATGAACCGCTTGTGGGCAACGCCACGCCCACTCTCTTCCTCCACATATACGGGCAGCAATCTCTGATCGGTGATTTCATGGGGTGTCCGATTTTATCACTCTATCACAGCGCTGCCGCTACTGCCGCTGCTAATGCCACTGCTGCTGCCGCTGCTGCTGCCCCTGCCACCCCTACCGCTGCTGCTACCGCTGTTGCCCCTGCAACCCCTACCGCTGCTGCTACAGCTGCTGCTGCTGTCGCCCCTGCTACCCCTACCGCCGCCGCTACCGCTGCTGCCCCTGCTACCCCTACCGCTGCTGCCCCTGCTACCCCTACCGCTGCTGCCCCTGCTTCCCCTAACACCACTGCTACTGCCGCTGCTGCTCCTGCTACCCCTACCGCTGCTGCCCCTGCTTCCCCTACCGCTGCTGCCACAGCTACTGCCGCTGCCGCCCCTGCTACCCCTACCGCCACTGCTACTGCCGCTGCTGCCACTGCCGCTGCTGCCCCTGCTACCCCTACCACTGTTGCCACTGCTACCGCTACTGCCGCTGCTGCTACAACTGCTGCTGCTGTCGCCCCTGCTACCCCTACCACTGCTGCTCCTGCTACCCCTACCCCTACTGCCACTGCCGCTGCTCACGTTCTCGCCAGGGGAGGCCTCGGCGCCGCTGGGAGGGGACGCCGAGAAGTCCTCCCACAGCAGCAGCGTCTCCTCCGTCTCCTCCCACGCGAGGCTGTCGCAGTCGTCCTCAAAGTCCATCGTCTCTCGCCTGCGCGGGCGGGGGCGGGGGGGGCGCGGAAGGACAGGCGGGAGGCTTGAGTGTGCTCGCTCACAGCACTTGCCCCCGGCAGTCCCTTGAGGCTGCACGGGGGATCTTTGTCTTTAGTTCGTGTGCGGGGAGCGGCGGCGCAGCGGTCAGCGCGCCCGGCCACGAACCCGGCGCCCCGAGTTCGATTCCCGCTCGCGGCCAACGCCGGTGACGATTATCCGAACCTGTCCTGGGCCCTCCCCTGGATCGAGCACCTGGTGCGGTGTGTAGTGAACATCGCCACTGGGGAGACAAAGGCGGCCGGGCGTGGTGTTGGCCACCCCACCTCCCTCGTGTGCCGTGCCGGTCTTCGTAGCTGCTCGCTAACAGCACTTGCCGCAACAGCCTGTAAAGGCTACACGGGGGATCTTTACCTTTGCGTGTGTACATGAGCGCGTGAGCGCGTGTGTGTGCGCGTGTCCTCACAGCGTGTTGATGATGCGCTTCATCTCGTCCGTGATGTTCCCGGACGAGGAGTTCTCATCGTCGTCGTTGATCGCCCCCGGTAACGGCGCCGTTGCTACGGACGGGGTCACCGCCTCCAGCGAGACAACCTCCATCGATGCGGTCCCCTCTGAGCAGATGCCACACGGAACACAGGCCAGCACGCTCCGTGAGACCCTGTCTCCACTTAGACCGGGTCCCAGGGTCGGAGTCTCGGTTGAGGACTTGGCTTCAGGAGACCGGGTCTCAGGGTCGGAGTCTCGGTTGAGACTCAGCTCCAGGAGACCGGGTCTCAGGGTAGGGAATGGGTGGCCAGCACCATAGGGGAGCGGTAGTGTCGCGCACTGCGCTACAAACCCGGCGATTCGAGTTCGATTCCCACTCACGTGGTGCTACCCACCCACCCCCTCGTGTGCCGTGCCGGCCTTCATAGATGCTCACTAACAGCACCTGCCCCTACATTCTATTAAGGCTATACGGGGGTCTTTGTGTGTGTACGTGTGTGTGTACACGTGTGTCTGCGTGTGTGTGTGTACATGTGCGTGTGTACCTGCGTGTGTACGTGCGTGTGTGTACGCGTGTGTACGTGTGTGTGTACCTGCGTGTGTGTGAACGTGTATGTATGTGTGTGTGCGTGCGTGTACCGAGAAGCGTCAGGGCGGAGCGATCTTCGTCCCCTCCCTCGAGCTGCTCCCCCCCGGGGCCCCCCACTTGCTGCCCCTGAGCCTCCTTCTTGCGCGGGGCCCCGGGGGTCCCCGCGGCCCCCCCGGGGCCCCCCACTCCAGCCGACGTCCCCACCGCCTTGATGGGCGAGAACTGCAGGGACTGCGGCGGGCAGAGGGAGAGTCACGTGGAGACTTACGCGGAGAGTCAAGCGGAGAGTCACGCGGAGAGTCACAAAGAGAGTCACGTGGGGAGTCACTAAGAGAGTCACTTGGAGACTCACGCGGAGGGAGAGTCACGTGGAGAGTCACATGGAGAGTCACGTCGAGAGTCAAGTGGAGAGTCACGTGAAGAGTCACGCGGAGAGTAACGCGGAGGGAGAGTCACGTGGAGAGTCACACGGAGAGTCAAGCGGAGAGTCACGTGGAGAGTCAAGTGGAGAGTCACGCGGAGAGTCACGCGAAGAGTCACGCGGAGAGTAACACGGAGGGAGAGTCACATGGAGAGTCAAGCGGAGAGTCAGGCGGAGAGTCAAGCGGAGAGTCACGTGGAGAGTCACGCGGAGAGTCACAAAGAGAGTCACGTGGAGAGTCACGTGGAGAGTCACGTGGAGAGTCAAGCGGAGAGTCACGTGGAGAGTCACGTGAAGAGTCACGCGGAGATTCATGCGAAGAGTCACGTGGAGAGTCAAGCGGAGAGTCAAGCGGAGAGTCACGTGGAGAGTCACACGGAGAGTCACAAAGAGAGTCACACGGAGAGTCACGTGGAGAGTCACACGGAGTCACGCGGAGAGTTACGAGGAGAGTCAAGCGGAGAGTCACGTGAAGAGTCACGTGGAGAGTCACAAGGAGAGTCACGTGGAGTCACGTGGAGAGTGATGTGGAGAGTCACGTGGAGAGTCACGCGGAGTTACAAGGAGTCACGTGGAGAGTCACAAGGAGAGTCACGTGGAGAGTCACGTGGAGAGTCACGTGGAGAGTCACAAGGAGAGTCACGTGGAGAGTCACAAGGAGAGTCACGTGAGAGTCACGCGGGGAGTTACAAGGAGTCACGTGGAGAGTCACGTGGAGAGTCGCGAGGAGAGTCACGTGGAGAGTCACGTGAGAGTCGCGTGGAGAGTCACGTGGAGAGTCACGGGCGTTCACCTTCCCTCTCGAGGCGTTGGCCTGGAGGAGGCTCACCGTGAACATGCGGCTCATGTCGTGCGAGTTGCGCTGCTGCGCGATGTCGCACAGCCGCGCCGTGATGTCGATGCGACGGCAGATGTCCATGTCCACCTTCATGGCCTTCTCCTGGATGCGGCTGTCAAGGTCCGTCATTTGCTAAAGGGGCCGCGGCAAACAGAGGAGCGTGACTCGGAGCGCAATGGGGCTCCAGCACTCACTCACCGCTCACCTCGCTCGCTCACCACGACCCTTGCTCACTCACCACTACACTCGCTCACTCACCACGACCCTCGCTCGCTCACCACTATCCTCGCTCATTCACCACGACCCTCGCTCATTCACCACTACACTTACTCACCACGACCCTCGCTCACTCACCGCAACCCTCGCTCACTCACCACTACCCTCGCTCACTCACCACGACCCTCGCTCACTCACCACGACCCTCGCTCACTCACCACGACCCTCGCTCACCACTACCCTCGCTCACTCACCACTACCCTCCCTCACTCACCACGACCCTCGCTCACTCACCACGACCCTCGCTCACTCACCACGACCCTCGCTCACTCACCACTACCCTCCCTCACTCACCACGACCCTCGCTCACTCACCACGACCCTCGCTCACTCACCACTACCCTCGCTCACTCACCACTACACTCGCTCACTCACCACGACCCTCGCTCACTCACCACGACCTTCGCTCACTCACCACTACCCTCGCTTACCACTACCCTCGCTCATTCACCACTACCCTGGCTCACTCACCACTACCCTCGCTCACCACTACCCTCGCTCACCACTACCCTCGCTCATTCACCACTACCCTCGCTCACTCACCACGACCCTCGCTCACTCACCACGACCCTCGCTCACTCACCACGACCCTCGCTCACTCACCACGACCCTCGCTCACTCACCACGACCCTCGCTCACTCACCACCACCCTCGCTCACTCACCACTACCCTCGCTCACCACTACCCTCGCTCACTCACCACGACCCTCGCTCACTCACCACGACCCTCGCTCACTCACCACTACCTTCACTCACTCACCACTACCCTCACTCACCGCAACCCTCACTCACCACTACCCTCGCTCGCTCACTGCTCACCTCACTGACTCACCACTACCCTCAACCACTATCCTCACTAACCCCTTCACATTTACTGCTCACCTCACTCGCTTGGGTACTCACTACTCTGCTGACTCGCTCACTATTCTCACTAACCACTCACTCGCTCGCTATTCTCATCACGAACCCCCTCACTCGCTCAATATTCTCCTTTCACTATTCTACTCACCGACTCACCATCACTATTCTGCTCACTCAACACTCCCCTCGCTATACTCCTCACTAACCCCCTCACTCGCTCACTGCTCACCTCACCCGTGACTACTGTAACTCACTCGCTCACCGCTCACCTCACTCACCCGCTACTACTCTAACTCACTCGCTCACTGCTCACCTCACTCACCCTCTACTACTCTAACTCGCTCGCTCACCTCACTCACTCGCTACCACTCTAACTCGCTTGTTCACTGCTCACCTCACTCACCCGCTAGTACTCGAACTCGCTCACCGCTCACCTCACTCACCCGCTACTACTCCAACTCACTCGCTCACTGCTCACCTCACTCACCCGCTACTACAGTAACTCACTCGCTCACCGCTCACCTCACTCACCCGCTACTACTCTAACTCGCTCGCTCACTGCTCACCTCACTCACCCGCTACTACAGTAACTCGCTCGCTCACTGCTCACCTCCCTCACCCGCTACTACTCTAACTCACTCGCTCACTGCTCACCTCACTCACATGCTACTACTGTAACTCACTCGCTCACTCATCATGGTTGCCCCCCCCCTCCACCCCCAACCTCCTCTACCGCCCTGTCAGCTATCTTAGCTGCCTCAATGTCAGCCATGTTGTCTGCCCCCTATCAGCAAGGCTTGTAATAGTTAATTTCTTTATCAAATGCAACGCATGGGTAATGTGGCACTTACGAATCGAAAGACGGCAAGCAAGACGGGCGGAACAAACGACCTTACATCGTAACAGGGGCGATTCCATACGTGTCCCCCATGAGCCATGAACATGCCACCCTATCGTACATCTTAGCCATCTTCTCTTCCCACTATCGGCCATCTTCTGTGTTTCCCCCATCAACTATCATTGGTGCCCTTCTTTCAACCGCATTGGCCACTATCTATCAACCATCTCATCTTTCTGATAACAACCTACAGCCTGTGTTGCTACTATCAGTCATCTTGTGTCCATCCGATCAGCCAATTTGTGTCCTTCCTATGAGCCAATTTTTGTCCCTCCTATCAGCCATCTTGTGTCCCTCCTATCAGCCATCTTGTGTCCCTCCTATCAGCCATCTTGTGTCCCTCCTATCAGCCATCTTGTGTCCCTCATATCAGCCATCTTGTGTCCCTCATATCAGCCATCTTGTGTCCCTCCTATCAGCCATTTTGTGTCCCTCATATCAGCCATTTTGTGTCCCTCATATCAGCCATCTTGTGTCCCTCCTATCAGCCATCTTGTGTTCCTCCTATCAGCCATCTTGTGTCCCTCCTATCAGCCATTTTGTGTCCGTCCTATCAGCCATCTTGTGTTCCTCCTATCAGCCACCTTGTGTCCCACCTATCAGCCATCTTGTGTCCCTCATATCAGCCATCTTTTGTCCCTTCTATCAGCCATCTTGTGTCCCTCATATCAGCCATCTTGTGTCCCTCATATCAGCCATCTTGTGTCCCTATCAGCCATCTTGTGTCCCTCCTATCAGCCATCTTGTGTCCCTCCTATCAGCCATCTTGTGTCCCTATCAGCCATCTTGTGTCCCTATCAGCCATCTTGTGTCCCTCATATCAGCCATCTTGTGTTCCTCTAATCAGCCATCTTGTGTCCCTATCAGCCATCTTGTGTCCCTATCAGCCATCTTGTGTCCCTCCTATCAGCCATCTTGTGTCCCTCCTATCAGCCATCTTGTGTCCCTCCTATCAGCCATCTTGTGTCCCTATCAGCCATCTTGTGTCCCTATCAGCCATCTTGTGTCCCTATCAGCCATCTTGTGTCCCTATCAGCCATCTTGTGTCCCTATCAGCCATCTTGTGTCCCTATCAGCCATCTTGTGTTCCTCTAATCAGCCATCTTGTGTCCGTCCTATCAGCCATCTTGTGTCCCTCCTATCAGCCATCTTGTGTCCCTCCTATCAGCCATCTTGTGTCCCTATCAGCCATATTGTGTCCCTATCAGCCATCTTATGTCCCTCCTATCAGCCATCTTGTGTCCCTATCAGCCATGTTGTGTTCCTCTAATCAGCCATCTTGTGTCCCTCCTATCAGCCATCTTGTGTCCCTCCTATCAGCCATCTTGTGTCCCTATCAGCCATCTTGTGTTCCTCCTATCAGCCATCTTGTGTCCCTCATATCAGCCATCTTGTGTCCCTCCTATCAGCCATCTTGTGTCTCTCCTATCAGCCATCTTGTGTCCCTCCTATCAGCCATCTTGTGTCCCTCCTATCAGCCATCTTGTGTCCCTCCTATCAGCCATCTTGTGTCCCTCCTATCAGCCATCTTGTGTCCCTATCAGCCATCTTGTGTTCCTCTAATCAGCCATCTTGTGTCCCTATCAGCCATCTTGTGTCCCTATCAGCCATCTTGTGTCCCTATCAGCCATCTTGTGTCCCTCCTATCAGCCATCTTGTGTCCCTCCTATCAGCCATCTTGTGTCCCTCCTATCAGCCATCTTGTGTCCCTCCTATCAGCCATCTTGTGTCCCTCCTATCAGCCATCTTGTGTCCCTATCAGCCATCTTGTGTCCCTATCAGCCATCTTGTGTCCCTATCAGCCATCTTGTGTTCCTCTAATCAGCCATCTTGTGTCCCTCCTATCAGCCATCTTGTGTCCCTCCTATCAGCCATCTTGTGTCCCTCCTATCAGCCATCTTGTGTCCCTCCTATCAGCCATCTTGTGTCCCTATCAGCCATCTTGTGTCCCTATCAGCCATCTTGTGTCCCTCCTATCAGCCATCTTGTGTCCCTCCTATCAGCCATCTTGCGTCCCTCCTATCAGCCATCTTGTGTCCCTATCAGCCATCTTGTGTCCCTATCAGCCATCTTGTGTCCCTATCAGCCATCTTGTGTCCCTCCTATCAGCCATCTTGTGTCCCTCCTATCAGCCATCTTGTGTCCCTCCTATCAGCCATCTTGTGTCCCCTCCTATCAGCCATCTTGTGTCCCTATCAGCCATCTTGTGTCCCTATCAGCCATCTTGTGTCCCTATCAGCCATCTTGTGTTCCTCTAATCAGCCATCTTGTGTCCCTCCTATCAGCCATCTTGTGTCCCTCCTATCACCCATCTTGTGTCCCTCCTATCAGCCATCTTGTGTCCCTCCTATCAGCCATCTTGTGTCCCTATCAGCCATCTTGTGTCCCTATCAGCCATCTTGTGTCCCTCCTATCAGCCATCTTGTGTCCCTCCTATCAGCCATCTTGCGTCCCTCCTATCAGCCATCTTGTGTCCCTATCAGCCATCTTGTGTCCCTATCAGCCATGTTGTGTTCCTCTAATCAGCCATCTTGTGTCCCTATCAGCCATCTTGTGTCCCTACCAGCCATCTTGTGTCCCTCCTATCAGCCATCTTGTGTCCCTCCTATCAGCCATCTTGTGTCCCTATCAGCCATCTTGTGTCCCTCATATCAGCCATCTTGTGTTCCTCTAATCAGCCATCTTGTGTCCCTCCTATCAACCATCTTGTGTCCCTCCTATCAGCCATCTTGTGTCCCTCCTATCAGCCATCTTGTGTCCCTCCTATCAGCCATCTTGTGTCCCTCCTATCAGCTATCTTGTGTCCCTATCAGCCATCTTGTGTCCCTATCAGCCATCTTGTGTCCCTATCAGCCATCTTGTGTTCCTCTAATCAGCCATCTTGTGTCCCTCCTATCAGCCATCTTGTGTCCCTCCTATCAGCCATCTTGTGTCCCTCCTATCAGCCATCTTGTGTCCCTCCTATCAGCAATCTTGTGTCCCTATCAGCCATCTTGTGTCCCTCCTATCAGCCATCTTGTGTCCCTCCTATCAGCCATCTTGCGTCCCTCCTATCAGCCATCTTGTGTCCCTATCAGCCATCTTATGTCCCTCCTATCAGCCATCTTGTGTCCCTATCAGCCATGTTGTGTTCCTCTAATCAGCCATCTTGTGTCCCTCCTATCTGCCATCTTGTGTCCCTCCTATCAGCCATCTTGTGTCCCTCCTATCAGACATCTTGTGTCCCTCCTATCAGCCATCTTGTGTCCCTCCTATCAGCCATCTTGTGTCCCTCCTATCAGCCATCTTGTGTCCCTATCAGCCATCTTGTGTTCCTCCTATCAGCCATCTTGTGTCCCTCATATCAGCCATCTTGTGTCCCTACCAGCCATCTTGTGTCCCTACCAGCCATCTTGTGTCCCTCCTATCAGCCATCTTGTGTCCCTCCTATCAGCCATCTTGTGTCCCTCCTATCAGCCATCTTGTGTCCCTCATATCAGCCATCTTGTGTTCCTCTAATCAGCCATCTTGTGTCCCTATCAGCCATCTTGTGTCCCTATCAGCCATCTTGTGTCCCTATCAGCCATCTTGTGTCCCTCTTATCAGCCATCTTGTGTCCCTCTTATCAGCCATCTTGTGTCCCTCTTATCAGCCATCTTGTGTCCCTCCTATCAGCCATCTTGTGTCCCTATCAGCCATCTTGTGTCCCTATCAGCCATCTTGTGTCCCTCCTATCAGCCATCTTGTGTCCCTCCTATCAGCCATCTTGCGTCCCTCCTATCAGCCATCTTGTGTCCCTATCAGCCATCTTGTGTCCCTATCAGCCATCTTGTGTCCCTATCAGCCATCTTGTGTCCCTCCTATCAGCCATCTTGTGTCCCTCCTATCAGCCATCTTGTGTCCCTCCTATCAGCCATCTTGTGTCCCTCCTATCAGCCATCTTGTGTCCCTATCAGCCATCTTGTGTCCCTATCAGCCATCTTGTGTCCCTATCAGCCATCTTGTGTTCCTCTAATCAGCCATCTTGTGTCCCTCCTATCAGCCATCTTGTGTCCCTCCTATCACCCATCTTGTGTCCCTCCTATCAGCCATCTTGTGTCCCTCCTATCAGCCATCTTGTGTCCCTATCAGCCATCTTGTGTCCTATCAGCCATCTTGTGTCCCTCCTATCAGCCATCTTGTGTCCCTCCTATCAGCCATCTTGCGTCCCTCCTATCAGCCATCTTGTGTCCCTATCAGCCATCTTGTGTCCCTATCAGCCATGTTGTGTTCCTCTAATCAGCCATCTTGTGTCCCTATCAGCCATCTTGTGTCCCTACCAGCCATCTTGTGTCCCTCCTATCAGCCATCTTGTGTCCCTCCTATCAGCCATCTTGTGTCCCTATCAGCCATCTTGTGTCCCTCATATCAGCCATCTTGTGTTCCTCTAATCAGCCATCTTGTGTCCCTCCTATCAACCATCTTGTGTCCCTCCTATCAGCCATCTTGTGTCCCTCCTATCAGCCATCTTGTGTCCCTCCTATCAGCCATCTTGTGTCCCTCCTATCAGCTATCTTGTGTCCCTATCAGCCATCTTGTGTCCCTATCAGCCATCTTGTGTCCCTATCAGCCATCTTGTGTTCCTCTAATCAGCCATCTTGTGTCCCTCCTATCAGCCATCTTGTGTCCCTCCTATCAGCCATCTTGTGTCCCTCCTATCAGCCATCTTGTGTCCCTCCTATCAGCAATCTTGTGTCCCTATCAGCCATCTTGTGTCCCTCCTATCAGCCATCTTGTGTCCCTCCTATCAGCCATCTTGCGTCCTCCTATCAGCCATCTTGTGTCCCTATCAGCCATCTTATGTCCCTCCTATCAGCCATCTTGTGTCCCTATCAGCCATGTTGTGTTCCTCTAATCAGCCATCTTGTGTCCCTCCTATCTGCCATCTTGTGTCCCTCCTATCAGCCATCTTGTGTCCCTCCTATCAGACATCTTGTGTCCCTCCTATCAGCCATCTTGTGTCCCTCCTATCAGCCATCTTGTGTCCCTCCTATCAGCCATCTTGTGTCCCTATCAGCCATCTTGTGTTCCTCCTATCAGCCATCTTGTGTCCCTCATATCAGCCATCTTGTGTCCCTACCAGCCATCTTGTGTCCCTACCAGCCATCTTGTGTCCCTCCTATCAGCCATCTTGTGTCCCTCCTATCAGCCATCTTGTGTCCCTCCTATCAGCCATCTTGTGTCCCTCATATCAGCCATCTTGTGTTCCTCTAATCAGCCATCTTGTGTCCCTATCAGCCATCTTGTGTCCCTATCAGCCATCTTGTGTCCCTATCAGCCATCTTGTGTCCCTCTTATCAGCCATCTTGTGTCCCTCTTATCAGCCATCTTGTGTCCCTCTTATCAGCCATCTTGTGTCCCTCCTATCAGCCATCTTGTGTCCCTCCTATCAGCCATCTTGTGTCCCTCCTATCAGCCATCTTGTGTCCCTATCAGCCATCTTGTGTCCCTATCAGGCATCTTGTGTTCCTCTAATCAGCCATCTTGTGTCCCTATCAGCCATCTTGTGTCTCTCCTATCAGCCATCTTGTGTCCCTCCTATCAGCCATCTTGTGTCCCTATCAGCCATCTTGTGTCCCTCCTATCAGCCATCTTGTGTCCCTCCTATCAGCCATCTTGCGTCCCTCCTATCAGCCATCTTGTGTCCCTATCAGCCATCTTGTGTCCCTATCAGCCATCTTGTGTCCCTATCAGCCATGTTGTGTTCCTCTAATCAGCCATCTTGTGTCCCTCCTGTCAGCCATCTTGTGTCCCTCCTATCAGCCATCTTGTGTTCCTCCTATCAGCCATCGTGTGTCCCTCCTATCAGCCATCTTGTGTCCCTCCTATCAGCCATCTTGTGTCCCTCCTATCGGCCATCTTGTGTCCCTTCTATCAGCCATCTTGTGTCCCTTCTATCAGCCATCTTGCGGCTGCTCCAGTACCAACCTCTTTGGCTGTGCCAACTTGTCCGACCTGGAGCTGCCCTTCATTAACCCCTTCACCAATCACAGTCCTCCTCCACCCATCAGGGCACCCCCACCCCCCAAACGACCCCCTCTCTACAGCGAGTTCCGCAAGGGGGGGGAGGGGAGAGACACGGGGGGCTGACGTCATTCAGCAGGGTCTTGAAGACGACCAGCTCGGCCTTGAGCCGCTCCATCTTCTGAGTGAGGTCGTCCTGGATGAACTCGGCCTCCTTCGCCTCCTGGACACGGGAGAGGGAGGCGGGGTGACGCGCGCGCAGACGCACGCAAGAACAACAAAGATCCTCGTGGAGCCCACACCAGGCTGTTGGTGCAAGCGAGCAGCACCGATGAAGGCCGGCACGGCACACGAGGGGGCGAGTGGCCGGCACCACGCTCGACCGGCCGCCTTCATCTCCCCAGTGGCGATGTGAACTACACGTCGCATACAAGTACTCATCGAGGCCGTCGCCGGTGGCCGTGGCCGTGGTCGTGGGCGCTATCATCGCTTTGCCGTCGCGGAGGTTTGCAGGTTAGAAAATTAGCGACCGCCCCGGTTAATACTCAATTGGTGCACGCGGTATTAGCCGTTGTAATCGTGATGACGCTACGTCGCCGTCGTGACGACGCTACGTCGCGGTCGTGACGACGCTACGTCGCCGTCGTGACGACGCTACGTCGCCGTCGTGACGACGCTACGTCGCCGTCGTGACGACGCTACGTCGCCGTCGTGACGACGCTACGTCGCCGTCGTGACGACGTAGCGTCGTCGTCGTGACGACGCTACGTCGCCATCGTGACGACGACGACGCTAGGTTGTCATCGTGACGACGCTAGGTTGTCATCTGCTTTCATTCACGGTGGACGTCACGAGTAATCCCGTCACATCATTTCCCAAAAGAGGAGGCCGTCGTGTGCCGGTGTCAGGGGTAGTCCAAATTTTTCGCCGAGTTTTTTTAATCACCGCGGAAGTGACTCACAACCGGGATTCTATGCACACACGGGGCAGCGATCACCGCCGCCATCGCAACCCCCGCCTACTGGCAGCCGATTGCACCCAGCCAGGGTACGCTTGCGAATTGGGACTTTGATTTCATCATGTCTCTCTCGAGTTCTCACCCAAACTTCCCCCCCCCCCCGGTTAAATAAATTAAACGCCAACCTCGGGCAGTGGTTCATAGCCTTGCAGCACCCCTTTGGTTCTCAATCATTAAGAAATTGTACAATGTTAAGCAATGCATAGGGGTTTGATGAAGCAAAGTAAGTTGTAACGTACGTGCCCGTGCTTAATTTGTGTCGTCGATGATTTAACTTCTTATATATAAAAAAATCTGCCCGTGTCTCGCTACCCCCCAGAAAGGGCATCTCGCAATCCCCAGGGTGGTGCAGCGTGCACCCCCAGGTTAAGAAGAAGAATCACCGTCTTGGTTTCTCACCACGAGAATTTCCCGTGAAAATGCTCCACCCCCGTGGCACGACGCGAGTTAGACGCTCGGGCAGCGGTGGGGGGGGGGGGGGTAAAATAAAAATCTTGTATCTCCGTACGCTCGTGAAAGTTGGCAAATATGGTGGTGGTGGTGGAGGCGAAGGCTGAGAGGCGGCGGGTAACGGGAAAGGCCGGACGATGTCGTGAGCGTGGGGGGGTCGAGGCGATGCTCATCGCGTCGCCGTGTTCACGGCGTACAAGGGGGGGGGGGGGGAGAAGACGCCGATCGGGGCATCACTCCACCCCTGTGCCCGGCGCACCACGTGCGGTGCACCTCGCGGCTGCCACGCACGGCTCACGCGCCGCCTGCTCCGACGCGAGTGCCCGACGGCGCGCACGCGCACCTCCTGCAGGACGACCACGGTGTCCTGCAACGCCAGGCGCAGCGCCAGCTCCTCCTCCCACCTGCGTGGGCGGCAGCGCGACACGGGAGGGTCACCGACCATCGCGACGTCGGCGTTTTTCACCCCCGGTGACCTCCGCGAGAGGCGCGGCGCGCACGCGCTTACGTGGAGTGCGAGCACTGCACCGTTGGTGAGCTGGCGAGCGAGTTGGCGAGTTCGTGAATGATTGAGTTAGTGAGCGAATGAGTGAGCGTTTGAGTGAGTAAAGCAGCGATTGAGCGAGCGACCGATCCAGTGAGTGAGCGGGCGAGAAATTAAGTGACCATGCAATTGAGTGAGCGAATGAGAGAGTGAGTGAGCGTGCGAGTGTGCGAGCGAGCAAGCGAGCGAGCGGGCGATTGAGTGAGCAATCGAGTGAGCGATCGAATGAGTGAGCGAAGACGTGAGTGAGCGAGTGGTTGAGCGAGCAAGCGAGCGATGAACGAGCAAGCGAGCGATGAATGAGCGAGCGATATGGTGAGTGAGCGAGCGAATGAGTGAGCGAGCGATATGGTGAGCGAGCGAGCGAGTTGGTGAGCGAGCTTTATAGTGAGCGAGCTTATAGTGAGTGAGCGAGCGAGTCGGTGAGGGAGCTAGTGAGCGAGCAAGCGAGCGAGTCGGCGAGCGAGCGGGTCAGCGTACTTGCGCTTGAAGTGGTCCCGCTCGCGCTTGACCTTGGAGAGCACGTTGTAGAGGGCGCGCATCTCGGGGGTGATCGTGTCGATCTGCACGCCGACGCCGACGCCGTGCACCGTAGGGAGGCCGAGCCCCGACGCGCGGCGTGCCTCCATCGCGGCGGCAGCGGCGGCGGCACCGCCCCCCCCCACGCGCCGAGCATAGCTCCACGCCGAGCCTGCCGCCAGCGACTGGGGGGGGGGGGGGTGCAGTGGTCAGCGCTACGCCGCGCTACGAACCCGGCGACCCGAGTTCCGTTGTACTGCACGCGTGTTGTTGGACTAATTTCTCACCGCGCGTGGCCAACCGTGCTAAATCGGCCACCAACACCGGATGAGGATTTTCTGAACTGGCCCTGGGCCTCTCCCCTAGGTCGACTCGGCCTCAAATGAGTACCCGGTGCAATTGTTGCATTGCCACGAGGAAAGACAAAGGCGGCCGGGCGTGGTGCTGGCCACCCACCCCCTCGTGTGCCGTGCCGGCCTTCATACTGTAGGTGCTGTTCGCTAACAGCACTTGCCCCTACAGTCTGTTATAGGCTACACGGGGAATCTTTGTCTTATTCTTTGTGATTCTTGGTCCTCTGTGGCTCTGTCTCTGTCTGTGTGTCTCTGTCTGCGTGTCTCTGTCCGCGTGTCTCTGTCTCATCATCATCATCATCACCACGTGCAAATGCATATAGCATTAGCCAAATGCTCTGAACTCGTTAAGCTGCTTCCGAATGGGCAAGGAAAAACCGGAGGAACCGGTAGTTAACATCTCCTAGCCACCGTGATGATTATGAGAGAGAGAGAGAGACACGCAAACTCCAAATATACAGCAGCAGGCATCGTCAGAGTCGGGATCGGACCCACGACCTCCTGCACACCAGGCGAGATAGTTAACATCTCCTAGCCACCGTGATGATGACGATGATGATGAGAGACACACAAACTCCAAATATACAGCAGCAGGCATCGTCAGGGTTGGGATCGAACCCACGACCTCCTGCACACCAGGCGAGGTAGTTAACATCTCCTAGCCACCGTGATGATGATGAGAGAGAGAGACACGCAAACTCCAAATATACAGCGGCAGGCGTCAGGGTCGGGATCGAACCCACGACCTCCTGCACACCAGGCGAGGTAGTTAACATCTCCTAGCCACGGCGGTGATGAAACGGAGAGATACTGGACGTGGTGTGCTGGGGGTTGAAATATATCCGGGGTCGCTGACCAGGATGGAGGCGTCCGTCTGCGTGGAGACGTCGCGCTGCTTTGCCGAGTGCCTCCGCGCCGCCAGCAGCTGCTGCTCCAGCAGCCGGTTCCGTCGTTCCAGCTCGTGCACCTTGGCCAGGAAGCAGCGGAAGCGCAGGTTCAGCGTCTGCGGAGGGGGGGAGGCGGAGCGGCACGGGGAGGGAGTCAGACGGGCGGGGACCCTGGGGATCCCTCGGTGCTGCCCCGGCTACCCCTGGGGCTCGTTGCTGTTGTTGATGATGACGGAGAGCTCTCTGCGTGCAGATCTAAGCTACCCGTCGGAGGTCGTTTGACTGTGGGAAGGGCTGCGTGTAGGTGCAGCACTTGTCGTAGTTATGAAAAAAGAGAGCCAAATGGAGTAGGAAGAGAGGGGGCAGAGAGGGGGGGCAGAGAGGGGGGTAGAGAGAAAGGAGGGGCAAAGAGGGGGGTAGAGAGAGTGGGAAGGGTTAAGGAGAGCAGAAAAAAAGAAAAAAATGTTGTTGGGTCTTTCATTTAAAAAGGGGGGGGTTTACATAAAGCAAAGCAAAAAAAACGAAATGATGAAATGATGAACGAAGCAAAGTGCCGACTACACCGAGCATCTTCTTGTTTCCGCTGATCGTAAAAAAAAAGAGAGAGGCGAGGAGACGTTGGGAGGAGAAGCGGAGGGAAGGAAAGAGGGGGAGGGAGGAGCAGGTGAGAGGGAGGGGAGAGAGGAGGGAGATGGAGGGAGGGAGAGGAGAGGGAGAGGAGGGAGAGGAGGGAGAGAGAGGAGGGAGGGAGGGGATCCCTCGCCTTGAGGAGGCTGATGTTGGAGCCCAGGTCACTGCGAAGGGCCATGTTGACGGAGGGCGGTGGCGTTGGCGGCGCCGCCGAGTAGATGGAGGTGATCAAGGAGGGCGGCCGGATCGCAAAATCGTCGGCGTGGAGCCGCTCCTCGGGGCTCAGCGGACTCATGGCCTTGGGGAGCGCGCTCATGCCCCCCCCACCGCCACGCACCAGCGTGGCCTCCGCCGTGCGAGCCGCGGCCGCTCGTGGGCCCAGGGAGCGCAGCCTTCGGGCACCCCCACAATGCACACAATGTTCAACACACACACTCAACACACACAGACACTCAACACACACTACACACACACTACACACACACACTCAACACACACACTCAACACACACACTCAACACACACACTCAACACACACTACACAACAACCGCAATTCGCCACTAAGTGGCGGTGACGTCACCACGACGCTTGTGCCAGGCTAGGTGCACCCTGAGGCCACGTGAAGTGTCGAACGCCCGCTGGCAGGAGGTCACGGGGCAGACCCAGGTGCCACGGGTCGACTGACTGAGATGACTGGCTGATGCACCACCTGTGCCCCCTACCGTGCCAACCTGCTGTGCTTTAGCCACCCGGCGCTCCGCTCGTTGTTCTGAGCGTCGCTCCTCCGCCCTCCGTTGTTGTTGGAGGGCGACTACCTCCAACTGCCCAGTAGCATCCTTCACGAGCCTCCTCCACAGAGGCCGATCTTGACACCGCTGGTACCAGTCATCGGCAAGTCCACTCAGCTCCACGTCCTCCTGTACCACATCACTCCATCTCTTCTCTAGCCCGTGCCGCGCCCGCTTAGCCCCCTCAATCCGGCCGAACAAAAGCTGTTTCGGCATGCGGTGGCTGGGCATGCGGGCTACATGACCCAGCCATCGCAGCCTTGCCCGCCGGAGGAGCTCACCGATGGGACCTTGCCCAGATCTTTCAAGGATTTGTGAGCTCACACAATCCAGTCTGGTTAAACCCAGGATGGATCATAGGCAGGCCAGCCTAAATGTTTCTAACCGGCGAAGATGTTCCATTAGGGGGGTCCGGCAAAACAACCCCCTACCTCCTCGCGGTGCCGGACGGGCAACTCTGTCGTGGACAGTGCTGTGGGGGGAGATCCAATTTTGATTGGCTCCTCCCCTCATGGCATATGTGTCCACCACAGGGGCTAAACGGGGGCTCTGGACGGGTGCGAGGGGCTGGTAACCCCTCCACCTTCAATTAATTACCACGAAACCACGAGTTAAACTGAAATATGTAACTAATAAGCTTGTGCCGGAGGCCCCGGGGGGCCAGGCGTCTATGACGTCTCATGGCCAAACCCCAATTGGCGGAGCCAGGAGATTGAATATCTACCCTCAGGGCTCCTCCAGAAACAACGAAAAGCCACTACGGGTGGCCACGTGGAATGTTCGAACGCTCACTGCGGAGGAGAGGCTGCCACTCCTCTGTCGGGAGCTGGAACGGTACCGCCTGGATCTATGCGGCATTCAAGAGGTCCGGTGGACCGGCTCTGGCTCCTGCCACCATGAGGGGTGGACAGTCCTCTACTCGGGGCAGCAGACTGCCAAACAACAGGGTGTGGCTCTTCTTTTGAACAAAAGAATGAAGGGGGTGTGGGAGCGTGGCGGTGAGGTGTGGGAAGCTGTAAGCCCCAGGCTACTTTGGGCTCGCCTTCCCATCAACCGGAGGCAAGGAATGGTGGTCGTGGTTACTTATGCCCCCACCGAAGATGAACATCCGTGGAGGGATGCAGGCAAAGCGGATGAGTCAGATGCCTTCTATGACCTCCTGTCACAGGTGCTGGCTAAAGTGGCCCCTCGGGATAGAGTCATCATGTTGGGTGACTTCAATGCCCGAGTTGGTCATGATACTGGCACCTGGTCTGGAGTGATTGGAGGGCATGGGCCAGATCAGCTCAATAACAACGGTAGGAGGCTGCTAGATTTTTGTGCAGCCCATGGGCTTGTAATTACCAACACGCTGTTCCGGCATCGGCGCATCCACACAACATCATGGATGCATGCCGGGTCCAAGCAAGAACATCTGCTGGACTACATAGTGACGGACCAGCAGATGCGAGCCCATGTCCTTGACACCAGGACCTACCGTGGAGCTGATCTGCCCTCTGACCATCGACTAGTCATCTGTAAGATGCGCCTGCCATTCTTCCACTCCGGTGGTGGGTGTACACCCAGGACCCCATTCCGACCTAAAGTAGCCTGGTCTCAGTTATCTGATGAAAGTTGCAAGCGAGAATTTCATCATCGCTTGCGGCTGGGATTGGCATCGTCCCCGACTCCTCCTGATGTCGAGGGTAAATGGGCGAGATTTAGGACTGTGACTCATGCAGCTGCAATGGCTGCTTTGGGTACGCGGTCCAGACCTCCCCAGAGACCCTGGCTGACAGAGGAGGTGTTCAGGATGGTTGAGAAAAAGCGACAGACCCACTGTCATCGGCTACAGAATCCCACGTCAGAGAATGAGGAGGCTTACAGCAGCCTTCGCTCGGAGGTTCGGAGAGCCGTGAGGCGCTGCAAGGATGGGTGGTGGTCGCAGGTTGCTGAGGAGATGGAGTCTGCCTCAGTGGCCCGTGATCACAAATCTCTATTTAACTCCATCAAAAAAGTAACCTGCAGCGCCACACCTATTACCATAATTAGGGGAAAAAACGGTGATCCAATCTCTGACCCCCAGGAACAGGTTTGCAGATTTGCTGAGCATTTCTGTGAGGTCCTGGGGGAGGGAAAATCCCTCAGCCAGGAAAACATCGTGGCACAAAGTGAGGATGACCCTGCTGAGGCTGCGGTGCCTCAAATATTGGAAGAAGTCACCCCCTGTGAGTGGCTGGCTGAGGTGCCATCTGTTGAGGAAGTACTGAAGGCGATCCGGAGTCTGAGACCAGGAAAGGCAGCGGGCAGGGATGATCTCCCAAGCAAAATGCTGAGGGAGGGTGGCGTTTGTGCACAGACTGCCCTATATGACATCATAACAACGGTCTGGCCCACTGGACGGGTTCCGCAGGATTGGAAGGATGCCCTGGTGGTCCCCCTCTTTAAGAAGGGGGACCGCACAGACTGTAACAACTACAGGGACATCTCACTCCTCAGTGTGCCGGGAAAGGTCCTGGCAAGGATTAGTCAGCATCGCCTTGCCAGGCACGCTGAGGAGAGGCTTGCGGAGCCCCAATGCGGTTTCAGGAAAGGGCGGTCCTGCACAGATGCCATATTTTCTGTCCGTCTGCTACAGCAGAGGTGTAGGGAATTCCAACAAGACCTACATCTCTGCTTTATTGACCTGGTCAAGGCCTATGATACCATCAGTAGGCCTGGGCTCTGGGTCGTTCTTCGTGCTTTTGGAGTACCTGACCCTCTGCTCACGACCATTAAGGACCTTCATGATGGTGAGCGGGCCCGGGTAAAACTACGTGGCCGGGAGTCAGAGCCATTCCCTGTACACCTTGGGGTGCGACAGGGATGTCCTCTGGCTCCCACATTATTTAACATCTATTTTGACCACGTAGTTCGTGAAGCCTTCAATAGCTGTACCGGGCGAATCTCCATATGGTACAGATATAATGGGAGGCTGATGGATGCCCGGGTGCGGTCAAGGGATGGCTCCCTATTGCTCAACCACGTTATGTATGCTGATGATTTGGTAATAGCTGCTTAGTCAGAGGAGGAGTTGGAGACGCTGCTGCTGAGACTGGAGCGTGCCACTAAGAGGTGGGGCCTTACCATCAGCCCCACCAAAACAAAGCACCTGCCTGGGTATTTTGTACCATCGGACACTCCACCCCCACAACTCCGAATCGGTGATGGGGCAGTTGTGGAGAGAGTGGAGAGTTTCCCATACCTGGGCAGTGTGCTTATGACTCGCTCCAGTTTAACAGCAGAGGTCTTACTCCGAATCAGTCGAGCGGCAATATCTTTTCATCGGTTGTGTAACGCTGTGTGGAAGCTACCTGGTCTGTCGCTCCGCACTAAGCTTCAGGTCTTCTCGGCCACGGTCATTCCCTCCCTTCTCTATGCTTGCGAAACGTGGACCCCCCTAATGGAACACACTACACACACACTCACACACTCAACACACACACACTCAACACACACACTCAACACACACACACTACACACACTCAAAACACACACACTACACACACTCAAAACACACACACTACACACACTCAAAACACACACTCACTCCACACACACACTCAACACACACTCAACACACACGCACTCAACACGCACTCAACACACACTCAACACGCACACACTCAACACGCACACACTCAACACGCACTCACTCAACACGCACAACACAAACACACACACAACACAAACACACACACTCAACACACACACAACACACACACACTCAACACACACAACACACACACACTCAACACACACTCAACACGCACACACTACACACACACTCAACAAACACGCACTCAACACACACTCAACAAACACGCACTCAACACACACTTAACACACACTCAACACGCACACAACACGGGAACGTTTGTTGTTGGGTTAGATCACGTGAATGTAACTGTGTCGTACACCCTCCTTCACCCGACACAGCCAATCATCCAAATTTGTCATGTGAGTAGCACATGGCAATTAGTTGGATGTAAGTTGAACTTATTTCACACCGTACGTAGCCAACTGTGCTAATTGAACTTCAGCACCACCGGTTGTGTGTTAGAGAGCAAACCCACAACAAGATTCACAATTTGAGTTAACGACGTTTCACTGGTGATTACAACCAACATAGACTCACGCAGAGACCCGTAGACTCACACAGAGACCCGTAGACTCACACAGAGACCCAAAGACTCACACAGAGTCCCATAGACTCACACAGTCCCATAGACTCACATAGAGACCCATAGACGCACACAGAGACCCAAAGACTCACACAGAGACCCACAGACTCACAGAGAGTCCCATAGACTCACACAGAGTCCCATAGACTCACATAGAGACCCGTAGACTCACACAGAGACCCATAGATTCCCATAGAGACCCGCAGACTCACACAGAAACCCATAGACTCACACAGTGCAAAGAATACACACTCCCACTGTTTGCGGATAGCGAGCTACTTGAGGCGTGGATCTCGACGCTAGTCCAGCGTGTATCTGTGTTATACATGAAGGCGTTTGATTGAGTGACTTACTTAAACTCTGTAGACACTTTGAGCTGGTTTAATCTCGTGTGCGTGACTGTCCAGGGGTTGAACCCTGGGCTGAACCCTGGGCACACTACCGGTGCTTGCAGCGGTGATTAGGAGCCAGGCATCGTGAATCCCTGGGCAGCACGTTAACAGAAAGGAAACAACAACAAAAAACGTGGAAGGTATTTTTGCTATTCACAAGAGAGATTTTCGGGGTAGATCGCTTAAATATAAATGTGTCGTTAACCCGCCACCACCCGTCACAGTAAATCGGAGAGGTTTGTCACTTGAACAAAAAGTGCCACAATTAGCGGCTACTTCAGCACACGGGTATGTTGGGAGAGTAAACCCACAACATTTACAATTCAAGTTACCACGACGTTTCGCTGGCGATTACAACAACCAGCTCCATCGGGCGATTTGCCAGAATTGTTTAAAAAAATAACCAGATAGACATCAGATCCAAAATAGCCAGATAGAAATGAGATCCAAAATAACCAGATAAAAATCGTACACTAATAATAGGTTTTACCCTTTCTGGCAATAAAACAGTTTGGTGTTTTAACATCTTAACACCTGGTTTCATTGCCAGAAAGGGTAAAATCTATTCTTATATTTTTAAACTGGCAAGGGGTGGTCCCATGAGATAGAAATCATATCCAAAATAGCCAGATAGAATTCAGATAGAACATAACCAGATAGAAATCAGATCCAAAATATTCAGAAAGATATCAGATCCAAGATAATTAGATAGAAATCAGATCCAAAATAGCCAGAAAGAAATCAGATCCAAAATAATTAGATAGAAATCAGATCCAAAATAGCCAGATAGAAATCAGATCGAAAATAACCAGATAGAAATCAGATCGAAAATATTCAGAAAGAAATCAGATCCAAAATAATTAGATAGAAATCAGATCCAAAATAGCCAGATAGAAATCAGATCCAAAATAACCAGATAGAAATCAGATCCAAAATATCTGCATAGAAATCAGATCCAAAGTATCCAGATAGAAATCAGATCCAAAATAACCAGCTATAAATCAGATCCAAAATAATTAGATAGAAATCAGATCGAAAAGAACCAGATAGAAATCAGATCCAAAATAGCCAGATAGAAATCAGATCGAAAATATCCAGATAGAAATCAGATGCAAAATTCAAGTTTCATTTCATTTTTTTCATTTATGAAGTGTAGCCCTGTGAGCCATGTGGCTCTTTAGTCGGGCGCAACCGCAACAAACTAAATATGAACAGGGAACATCTTAAAGCGACGATGCGCAACAGAAACATATCCAGATAGAAGTCAGATCCAAAATATTCAGAATGAAATCAGATCCAAAATAGCCACACTGCAGTAGAAATCCTAAATTGCTGCACAAACATAAATCAATACTTAAATTAATTTCCTGCGATGGAAGTTTGCTCGGATCAATATCGTGCATCGCACAAAGTTGAATAACAGCGACGTTTTAATACGCCTGGGGGGGGGGGGGGTGACCGCATTTGTATCTTGAACACAACAAGAAGGGCTCTGACACAAAGACTGAGAATGACCCTGATGGCGTTGCTGTGATGATTGTGGTGATGATGATCGTGGTGGTGATGATGATCGTGGTGATGATGATGATGATGATCGTGGTGGTGATGATCGTGGTGGTGATGATTGTGGTGATGATCGTGGTGGTCATGATGATTGTGGTGGTGATGATTGTGGTGGTGATCGTGGTGGTGATGATTGTGGTGATGATCGTGGTGGTGATGATTGTGGTGATGATCGTGGTGGTGATGATGGTGATGATGGTGGTGATGATGATCGTGGTGATGATGGTGATGATGATTGTGGTGATGATCGTGGTGATGATGATGGTGGTGATGATCGTGGTGATGATGATTGTGGTGATGATTGCGGTCATGATGATTGTGGTGATGATGATCGCGGTGGTGATGATGGTGGTGGTGATGATGGTGGTGGTGATGGTGATCGTGGTGGTGATGATCGTGGTGATGATGATCGTGGTGATGATGCTCGTGGTGGTGATGATGAACGTGGTGGTGGTGGTGATGACGATCGTGGTGGTGATGATGATCGTGGTGGTGGTGATGATGATCATGGTGGTGGTGATCGTGGTGGTGGTGATGATCGTGGTGGTGATGATCGTGGTGATGATGATGGTGGTGGTGGTGATGATGATGGTGGTGATGATGGTGGTGATGATGATGCTGGTAATCACGATGGAGATGAAGACGATCATGATGATGATGATCATAATGGTCGTGAAGATGTGTTCACTGTCGAGATGACAATGAAAATAACCAAGACGATCATTCTGATATTGATGATAATGGACTACGTGGTTAGCAGCAGAGGGCAGTACAGAAACACATATGTATGTTAAACTTCTTGTGCACCCTAAGTAGCCAACCGTGCGTACTGGGAGGTGCACTGTGCTCCATTGTTGCACGGTACTTCTACGATCACATGGCTCTCCTCCTTCACCGGACCCTGCTGACCCAGTGTAGTGAAGTATGGTCAAACACCAGCCACGACACGCAACTGCGTGAGGAGCGCCACTCATCCAGCAGTTGATTGGCCACGGCTATAGATTATTATAAGCACACGTGTGTGTGTCCCATTGGTCCAACGTTACCCCAACGTTGGCATCGTATACCCAACGTTATCCCAACGTTGGCATCGTATACCCAACGTTATCCCAACGTTGGTCCAATGTTATCCCAACGTTGGCATCGTATACCCAACATTATCCCAACGTTGGTCCAACGTTGGCATCGTATACCTAATGTTATCCCAATGGTGGCATCGTATACCCAACGTTATCCCAACGTTGGTCCAACGTTATCCCAACGTTGGAATCGTATACCCAACGTAATCCCAACGTTGGTCCAACGTTGGAATCGTATACCTAACGTTATCCCAACGTTGGCATCGTATACCCAACGTTGGTCCAACGTTGGCATCGTATACCTAACGTTATCCCAACGTTGGCATCGCATACCCAACGTTATCCCAACGTTGGTCCAACGTTACTCCAACGTTGGCATCGTATACCCAACGTTATCCCAACGTTGGCATCGTATACCCAACGTTATCCCAACGTTGGTCCAACGTTATCCCAACGTTGGCATCGTAGCTGTCAACCCCTTTTCAGTACATACCTCATTACAGACCAATTCAGACCTTATTGGTCACCCCGTGCCCCTTATAAATCTCAAAGTTCATCCTACGAAGTCACCATCACAAGAGAGAAAGGCTCACCACGACTACACTCACCACTAGTACACTCATCACTAGTACACTCACCACGACTACACTCACCACCAGTACACTCACCACGAGTACACTCATCACTAGTACACTCACCACTAGTACACTCACCACTACGCTCACCATTACACTCACCACTACACTCACCATTACACTCACCATTACACTCACCACTACACTCACCACTAGTACACTCACCACTAGTACACTCAACACTCGTACACTCACCACTCGTACACTCACCACTAGTACACTCACCACTACACTCACCACTAGTACACTCACCACTAGTACACTCACCACTAGCACACTCACCACTAGCACACTCACCACTAGTACACTCACCACTCGTACACTCACCACTAGCACACTCACCACTAGTACACTCACCACTACTACACTCACCACTAGTACACTCACCACTAGTACACTCACCACTAGTACACTCACCACTAGCTCACTCATCACTAGCACACTCACCACTAGTACACTCACCACTAGTACACTCACCACTAGTACACTCACCACTAGTACACTCACCACTAGTTCACTCACCACGAGTACACCCACCACTAGTACACTCATCACTAGTACACTCACCACTAGTACACTCAATACTAGTACACTCACCACTAGTACACTCACCACTAGTTCACTCACCACGAGTACACTCATCACTACACTCACCACTAGTACACTCATCACTAGTACACTCACCACTACACTCACCACTAGCACACTCACCACTAGTACTCACCACTAGTACACACACCACTACACTCACCACTAGTACACTCATTACTAGTACACTCATCACTACATACCTGTAAATCCCTTATCAGTGCCCTACCTTATCACAGACCAATTCAGACCTTTAGTGCTCACCCCGTGCCCCTTGTAAATCTCAACGTTCATCCTACGAAGCCCCATCACAAGAGATAAACAATGTTGCCCGCCTTGTGGCGTCTGTGACGCCGTGTGGACCTGAAAACTCAATCTCCCTGCACAAGAATTACGGGATAAGCAGTACGGGTTAACACGGAATGCAGTGCTCATAAACAGTGATGATGATGGTGGTGATGGTGGTGGTAAGCAAGTGGCGGTTAAGACGATACCCTCAAGTAAATATTCCGACTTTGGACACCATGTGTGGTTGGAACCATTGCACCAACGTTGGCCCAACGTTAAACCAACGTTGGGCCAGTGATGACGAAGGCGGCGTGGGTATATGATGCCAACGTTTAAAACCAACGACGTTGGTCCATTGAAGAAGACGGCGTGGTTATACGATGCCAATGTTGGCCCAACGTTATCCCAACGTTGGACCAACGTTGGCATCGTATACCCAACGTTGGCCCAACGTTGGACCAAAGTTATCCCAAAGTTGGCCCAACGTTATCCCAACGTTGGACAAACGTTATGACAACGTTAATCCAACGTTATCCCAATGTTCGAATCGAATACCCAACGTTGGCCCAACGTAAACCCAACGTTGGCCCGACGACGTAATCCCGACGCTTCACTGCTCACTGGGAATCGAAACGATTCTGTTTGCAGCTGCTGCTGATGAAAACAAGACGCTCGTGATGGTGGCTGGTGGCAATGCTGATGCAAGTGTTTGCTGATGATGGTTATTTAGGTGAACACGCTTTCGCGATCAATAGTTTTCGCGATAAAAGTTTTATTTTGTGTGGGGGGGGGGGGGGGGGGTTTAGATCGCGTTAAGTGTAAATGTGTCGTAACCACCCATCACCCGACACAGTAAGGTTTGTCACGAAAAGTAGTGTATAGTGTAGTGTATAGTGTAGTGTATAGTAGTGTATAGCGTAGTGTATAGTAGTATATAGT